GGTGCCAAACTTTGGGCACCGCAATATAATGCGGTGCCAAACTTTGGGCACCGCAATATTGCTTCAGAATTGCCGTGTAGAGCGGAAGTGGGGACAAAACTGCTCGTAGTGCCTACATACAAAGTACACAAGGGTGACATACAAATACAATACTCAAAAAACAATAATTGACGTACCTGATTATTGTACAAATCCACCAAGACTGTCGGTAACGCTTGAGGACAGCAACTATTAAAATACTCAATCTCAATAGTGTCAGGGATTTCCCTTAGCATGAGTAATGAGAATGAAACAGATTGAAACAATACCACATGGACTGTTGGCATAGTGACATAACAGTGTTTATCGTGAACAGTTCTTCCAAGAAAAATCCTTTCAAGCAATGTGAAACCAACTTGCAACATGTATTGAAAAATACGTACGTTGAAAGACATATACGAGACATATACCTTTCATTGTAACAGCAAACGTTGCATCATTTATTAATTTTATCCTTGCTGTTGCATGATGCAGGTGCATTATTTCGACAATTCGCTGACTAAGTTCTTTTGTATATGTTTGCATGGCAATAATATATATAGCCTGCGAGCAGGCTCTCAAGGTGAATTTGTTTTGATTTGTAAAGAATGTTTAATACGGCTAAGCTTTAGTTGCTTTAGTGGCTTTAGCTTTAGTTGCTTCAAAGTTTTTGGTACTATACTGTTACGGCTAAGCTTTCGAACCATAAGCTCGGCTTATCATCCTATTATTAACACTGATAAAGATGCAGGCTTATGGATCGAAAGCTTTGCAGCAATCAATATAAATCTGGTGTTCTCCACAAACGGCCAAAAAATAATTCGCTTACTTCAGCAAATTCAATTGTTGATGCTCTTCCAAGAACTGATAACAATACAGTTCACACTTAGTTCATATTCATAGACATAAAATTGGATCTTCTCTACATATATCTTCTTTCAATCAAATTTTTACCTTAACATAATTGCTGATTTATAAGGTCACAGGAATTTTCATCCATAATCTATTAGTTGCATCGAAATGCATCTATTATTCCTATGCTACTACTGTACACATAATCTAACGTGATCCACCGTGCACTCTGGGAACCATGCAACAATTACAACAAGTGGAAAAGAAGAAGAGGACGACAAAAACAATAACCTACGCAAAATGTAATCATCGTAGGAATACCGACTGGGAGGACGTGAATGAAATACGAAGTCGAAGGCCAATGGAGGACAGAGCCAAAAGGTTTGTTCGACAGTATATATTTGGACAAATATACTTCATATACCGACATGCAAAAAACCCAATCCAATTTGTTGCAAGTAGTTGCTTCAAAGTTTTTGCTACTACTCGTTTTGTATACATCAGGTTTTCAGGCCGATTTGTGGTTTAGGTGCATGATATTTAATTAACGAAGCCATTGCCGAGCAGCGAGAATAATGGGCCCACATTCTAGTTAGACAAGGTAAATAATTTTTATGAGCACCATCCAGCACAAACAATTATGCTAATGAGCTCTGCATGTGAAGCAAAAAAAATGCTAAAAAGCTCTGTGTTCTCTCTGCTTTTATATGCATGAATGATTAAGATAAGACCTTATCTGTAGTGTAGTGTAGTGTAGTGTAGTGTAGTGTAGACATAGTTTTCAATGCGTCAGCAGCTTATTTTTGGTAGAAACGTCGATCACTCATGAGCTTGATCATGCATGAATGGTAGGTGGCAAGAGTCGTTGTTCACGAGACTGCGTACACTGATGACTGCGTACACTAATCCGGTGAAGATTTATCATAGCCTGCGTGCAGCCTGACTTTAAAGGGGGAAACGTCAGTCTGCGAATCAGGGAACAATACCGTGTTCGCGCCATCTTTTGAATTGCATGGACTTCTGTATTCAAACGTGATTGGCTATTGCTCAGAAGCTTAATACACGCGCTACGATTGGCCAATTCATTACTATATTCAGTTCAAACAACATTCCAGAATGAAAAAATGGCGGACAAAAGCGCGAAGGGCAATGTTGTGTGTAATTTATGCACGAAACCCATACAAAAGAAAAAGTTCTCATTAAAGGTTCTCAAGACGCCATTTTGCTAAATATATCATTTTGTTGAACTGAATATTATTAAAGTGCTCCTGACACAAAAATTGATTTTTTGTGTATTGAAAGTACACATTATGTGGAGTGTTTTGGTGAAAGAATTTTTTTATTTCATTGAAACGAAAAAATTTTAGAGCCGTTTGAACACCCAAAATGTGGGCTTTTTGTTGGCACGCGTCCGTGTTCGAAGGAAACTGGAACGAGCGATTTTTGTTACGTCACGCAAGTGAGTCGGGGCCGTTCTATAATTTATTCGACTGGTACTAACTCTTGGCGGAAGGCACTAGATAGGATCGACCTAAACCCCATGAGCCAACAATAACATAATATTTTATCAGCGGTGTTTTAATGAACACTAGCGAATTTCCGGAATATTCAGAATTGGTTTCCGGTTTTCAAAGAGTGAAAATTTCAGCTGTGATTTTAATCTTCTTTTCCTTTGGATGCAGTATTAAATAACTAACGCGATCGACGGCAAGTTAAATCGGTAAGTTTTATTCTAACACACACAGTTTTACTACCTTACATAAAAGCAGAAATCTTTGTTATACAATTTATCTAATTTATAATATAATCTTGACTATAAAGTAGCAATTGAAGTACAAAATGTCTATTTACATGCACTAATATACTATATATTTAATACCAGTTAATTTGCTTTAAATATATGCTAGGTCAACCTCGTCCCCAGGGCCTATTGAGGAAGGAGGCGAAGCAGCAAAGGCCCTGGTAAAGGCTGGTCACGTGATGCTTCAAATTTTGAATATTTGTTAAATATTTAACTTTTCAAACCGGGGGTGCGGGCCGCTTTGATTTTATCAAACATGGCCGTGCAAAGGGGCGATAGAAGCTTTTGCGACTGAAACCAGAGACTGAAACTATGATGATAAACTTTTCAACTGACAGTGGAAATAAATATATAGTCTGCGATGTTCTTCAAAAAAATATGCAATATAATCAACAGCAATACTTGTGGAAGATCAAGATTCAAAGAGAAGAGGCTAAACATTGACTGACAACAGTCAACAGTAAATATTTCTTTTCAGCTTGGAAGCGTGTTTTATAATACTTGTCGTTTGGGAGTCAATAACATACTGTCACTACTGTCAGTGAAGAATTTGATTTGGGACTTTGATGTACCTTTATGAAAAGATTACTACTGAATACAAATGTGCATGTAAAATGTGATTAGAACGTTTTAATATGAACAGTTGCACTGTCATTGACTCAATATATTTTAATGTGGGACAAACATTAAAAAACATTAAAGTGCTGTGCCAAGTGACAAAATTCCATGCCGACCATGGGTTATGTATGTATGCATTTTTATTAAACGTTTATACCAATATACACTATTTTAAACCTTTGTGTGTGAATTTTGTGTGTTGATTTTATGATATATGACAACCATGAATATTAATAATATAATATGTTAACAGCAAGTTTACAGTATATTGTATAATACAAAAGCAATATCACTGATATTATCACAAGACTCAAGTACTGTACATGGTCTAATAGATGTTTCTTAGTCAGCAATTATGCTCTTTGACATTGTGGCAATCAGGTATTCTTGGGGCTTTTAGCTTGGTTTTTCACTTTTTTGATACAACTATAGAATACCCACAACTTTCACACCTTACCGCTATTAATTCCTTGTAAACATTGTCAATTTACTCAAAATTGATCTAATATGATTGCCTCATTCTTCAAAACCCCCCAGTCAAATTTGAACCAAACTAACATACTCATATGATTTAATCTCTAAACTTTACCCTTAAACTATTTTGAAGTGATTCTTGTACTTATTTATGTGTCAATGAATGCGGAAAAATGGCGAGGTATTCCATAAGCATTCCGGCATGTGTGTTTTTGAACCTTCACTGTTGAGAGAGCATGCCATGGGTCTCCCCAAATTATCTCAGCACTTCGACCAGACCAACAGCTGCCAAATGGCAACTACTATGCTCAGAGGTGTAACTTAACACTTGCCCGGGGCAAGTGAATATCATGATGGCAAGTAAAAGTTTCCTCTTGGTTGCCCGAACGGGCAAGTTGCTTTGCCACAAAAAGCTGGCCAGCTTTCAGTTCATATTATTATTGTCGGATAGAATGAAGGCTGTTCAACGACATTGGTTCAAGCTGGCAAATCATCTGCATCAAATTCATCTAAATTGTTTGATTATATTATGCATTGATTCTCTTTTTGGTTATTAAGTTAAATGTTTATTCATGATATGATAACGAAATATGGCAGGACTTAATTTATGGCAGGACTTAATTTGGGACTTTATTAGTCCTCTGTTGTCTGTGCCTTCAATTTCTTATTGTAAAACTAATAACAAAAAATAATGGTGATTAGTGTTACATTAAATAAGTGTACTTGATTCAAATTTTGTTTAATATGTGAGCCAAAGCTAGATCTGAGGCAGTAACATAGCCAATGCCACTAACTAGTCCAATGTGTGGATATGTTATCTCTCTAATTTATACTGGCCCGCGTAGGTACCCCATTGCCTGATGGCAAGTGGATTTTATTCAGGGCAACCAATTTTCATGTCCAACTTGCCCTGAGGGCAAGTGGCAAGTGGTCAAAAAAGTTAAGTAATACACCACTGATATGCTGTATCCAAATTATATACCTGAAATGTAACTTACATCATATTAAATAAAATTGAATTATTATCAGAAAACAATCCTAAAGATTTCTGGAAACTCGTTAACTCCATAAAAGCTCAAAAACCTAGAACTTCACACGAAATTCTACCATCTGAATGGTTTGATTATTTCAAAAACTTGAACAAAATAAATATCAATACTGAAGTAGCAAGCAGTGAAGCACAAATCATAAAAGATTTTAATATCTGGGCATTAGGTACAAATGATACTCTTGACAGACCAGTATCACTGGAAGAAGTGTACAAATTATCAAAAAGATTAAAGAACAAGAAAGCCAGTGCCAATGACTCGTTGTCCAATGAGATCATTAAACTAGCAGTTGAGGTTATGCCATCCTACTTTGAAAAACTGTTTAATAAAATCTTGTCCAATGGACACTTCCCATCACTTTGGTCTAAAGGTTTTATAGTCCCCATTTATAAATCAGGAAGTAATATCGACCCGAATAATTATAGAGGAATATGCATAAGCAGTTGTTTGGGAAAATTTTTCACATTAATCATGAATGAACGACTAAATAAATATCTAGACGAAAACAACATTATGAGTAATTGCCAAATCGGATTTAGAAAAAATTATAGGACAGCCGACCATCTATTAGTTTTGAAAACTCTAATAGATTATTACAAATCAAAACGTAAACCAATCTTTGCTTGTTTTATTGACTTCAAAAAAGCTTACGATAGTGTATGGAGGGAAAGTCTTTTCTTCAAATTGATCTTGAATGGTTGCAGCAAAAGATTCATACGTTTAATGTTAAGCATGTATTCCTCCTATGACTGTTCGGTAAAATTGGAAGAGGGGTATACAACTTTCTTTAGGTCACATGTAGGGGTCAAACAGGGTTGTAACTTAAGTCCTACTTTATTCAACCTATTCATTAATGATCTACCTGATATATTTGACAGGTCATGCACTCCAGTAAAATTAAATGATACAAATCTAAGCTGTTTGCTTTACGCAGACGACCTAGTCTTATTATCCGAATCCAGGGCAGGGTTACAAAATTGCCTCACAAAACTTGTTTACTATACCAAAAAGTGGAAGTTAAACATTAATCTTAAAAAATCCAAAGTTCTAGTATTTGGAACACCAACCCAAAAACGTAGGCATTCTACATCAATCTGGACATTCGGCAAAAATATTTTGGAACAAGTTGATGAATATTGTTATCGGGGTATTACTCTTCACTTTTCTGGTACTTTCAAGCGAGCACAAAAGATAATCTACGGAAAAGCATTACATGCCTATCATAGTATATTTAAAAGTTTCTCAAATGTCGAAAATGTTCCAATAAAACTAATGTTAAAACTATTTTCTTCGATAGTTACCCCAATCTTATTATACGGTTGCGAAGTGTGGGGTCCGCATTTATTGGGCAGAATAAATTCTTTCGACATGTTCAAGAAAAAAATTTTCCAAATCAATAGTGCAATTGAAAAACTTCATCTAAAATTCTGCAAAAGAGTCTTAGGAGTTCATTCAAAATCAACAAACATGGCTATTTATGCTGAGCTAGGAAGAACGCCTTTGATCGTTCAAATAGCTAAACTGGTTGTAAAATATTGGTTTCGAATAAAAAGTTCATTGTTATCAAACACGCTTGTTGGAAAAGCAGCGAATGTATGCATGGAACTTAACCTAAAGTCAACAATTTTTATCAAATATGCACTGCAACTATGTGGGGGAGAAAATTGCGATTCACAAACTGAATTATCCAACTTACAGACGGAATTATCTGAAACAGAAAACGGAAATGTTTGCCATCACGTGAAACATAGATTTAAAGAAGCGTTTATATTGTATTGGGCAGAGCAGTTTCAACCTGTCGAAAATACTGGCAAGCTAAGAACTTTTAGAAAAATAAAAAAACACTTTGAATGTGAAAAATACTTAAACGAAATTAGTAATTTCAAATATCGTCAAGCTGTTACAAAGTTAAGAATATCAGCACATAAGCTAACCGTTGAAACTGGTAGATACAACAATGTCCCATACAATGATAGACTATGCAGACTTTGTGAGTTAAATGAAGTAGGAGATGAACATCACTTTTTAATGTCTTGTACAAACATGAAGTTCATCAACCTCAGGACAAAATTCATTGATAATTTATATAAAATAAATAGGTTTTTCAACTTATTTACTTCGGAAAACCTATTTATATATATTATGGCTATGAAGGATAAGTCAATAATGAAGTTAGTAGGCAAATATTGTTTCGACGTTTTGGCTGCTTTTGATAGCCTGGTCTAATTACTCACGTGTGCGTGTGTATGTATGTGTATTTATACATTTATCAACTTTTTTCATATATATTAATATTTATGTTATTGTGAAAGACCGTAACGACTTATTTAGTTATTTACCCATGTATTCTATGTCCCAATATTGGGACTTTGTTTGAATAAATTATTATTATTATTATTATTATCAACTATTGCAATCGCGCGAAGGATTCTGAATACACTCATTACTCGGTGGAAATAAATGATAAGTTAACTTTACCTTACAATGACAATGTTCCTGACCATTACTATCGCGGTCTTGATTTTAATTTATCCACCCAGTTCGAGTTTATAACCACAAACGTACGGACGTCGGACTTTATATACAGTATAAGCAAAGAGCTTGTCAACTTGATGTAAGTTTCGCGCGCTTATGCGTGAATTATTCTTAAATTATGCCATATGCACAGCTGGACCATTTATTCTTATCATGCGCAGAAGAGAGCTCATCATTACAATCCTTGACTGCGTCCCACAATGACTGCATCGATGCACATTTACGTACATAAATACGAATATAGAACGCCCATATATCGTGGAAGTGGCTAGTGATAGAAAAGGTGGCATCAATACGTGGGCCAAGCCGCGTTATGAGTTTGGGCTCGGTGCTGTCCTCCCATGCAACTAGTGGAATCTCTGAGGTTGGGGAGGGTGACATTGATGTCGCCTATGGGCGCACTTTTTGATTATAAATTACTCAAACAGAAAGAACGTAAATTTCGCTTGTCTTGCAATAAGATATTGAAAGGGGAGGACATTGGGATTTACGGTATGGCGGTATCAGCCTAGCTTATTTGTCATGTGGTATTTCGGTATTTTCCTTGAAAAATTGCCGCATTATGATATTGGAAATCTTGTGATACACCGTACACGGTGTTTGCAATTTTGGACTCGGAAACTGCGGCTATTGACAACATTTGCTTGCGGTATTACGGTATTGAATATACCCAATGCCCCCCCCCCCCCCCCCCCTTGAAAAGCACTCCAAAATGCCTTAATTAAAATGCCATTTGCAAATGGTGTAACTAATTAATTAAGGCCCGTTTACACTTGTAATTTCCACTGCCATTTTTTCTGCCGACGTGATGGAAACATAAAATTGCCAGTGTAAACAGCCTGAAATTTCTGCAATCTCAATGCTACTTCACTGCGACAAGCTAGAAATATTTCAATCATGATCGAATTTTTAAAACGATGTGAACAAAATACGACTGCTAACCTTTAATAAAGTGCATTATGGCAAAAATACCGGCGACCATAACGCATCGCGCTTGGTTAAACTTCAGATTTCTACCCCCATATTAAAGTTTAGGTCTGCTGCCTTGCTCGGTCGCTTCAGACGACCTCGCTGCGGCAGCAATAACTATATAACTTGATTCGTAGTTCAAAGTACAATCACATGGGGTTTTTTTGAGGAAATTTAATTTGGGCTACTTGATAGTAATTTGATAGAAATTAATAGTATATTGCAGTCTTATAAGAACCCAAATGCATCTACAACATTGGTATGCACTTCTATAATAAGAACAATTTCTCTTCTTCTTCTTTTTCTCTCTTGTAATTTGTAAATATTCACTTCTATAATAAGAACAATTTCTCTTCTTTCTTTAATATTGTGATTGACTGTAAATAATTTATTACATAATATAATACAAACTAGCATAACTAGAGACCTAAATAAAAAGTCTATTAAGATTTCTAGTAGGTCTCTAGCCCGCACTCTACACTTATTGTACATATACTACACATTAATTTATTGTACATGGGGAAAATTTTTAAAATAAATAAATAAAATAAAAATAAAGAGGTAAGTATATCTCTTATCAGTAGCCAGTCAGTCATATCTCTTATCATGATCAGCAGCCAATACAAATATATCACAAAATTTGCGAACTTCGAAGGGCTATATATTTCCTTAATTTTACAACATTTAGCAACCAATCTTTGCAGCTTTACTCGTTCTAAGACGCTCTTTCTAGCTGTGGTGTTGGATTTCGTTCTTTTCAGTGACACAAAGTGACAATATACCGTAAATTTCCGAATATAAGCCTCCCCGAACATAAGCCCCCCCCCCCGTGTATAAGCCCACCACATGTACTAATGCTCACCTCATTCCAAATATAAGCCCCCCCCCCCGAATATCAGCCCACCTGAATATATATAAGCCCACTTGTTTATCACTATTGTTTATCACTATTACCACTATTAATCACTATTATTACTATGCTTAATTAACACTTGTTTATCACTATTGCTAAAGGGTCAGAAAACTAACGTTCGAACAGTAAACTAACGTTCACAAAAATTTTTCCGGATAAATTCCTATTACAATATCGGTCAAATCCTTTTTTTCGATGAATAAATGTAAAATTTGAGTTTAGAAAATTTTTTCTCATACCATTATTTTTTTCTTTCAAAAAAGTTCGAAATATTTTTTTGCCCCCAGTGCCGCCCTCCCCTCTGAAAGGCCCTAGATATACTTGCAGTGAACGAACAAACTTTAAACATATAAGTATATTATAATAATACATATTCATCACAAAATACAGTTCCTAAGAATAGCGTCTTTCACATTTTAAGTGAAAAAAATTCCGATTTGGCAGGGCTCAGATGCTATAGTAAAATCACTCAAGTCAAAGTTTTAAATTAAAGACTAATTAATTCGCACAAGTCGACCGCTTCCGGCCACGAGTCACGAGCGAGGAAAAACTGTGTGAACACTAACACTATAACATATGTTGGCAGTAATCTAACACCGCTAACGGGCTTACCCACGGTTAATAGTGATTTACCATTAGCCAAGGAATCGAGCTCGGAATCGGACATTACGTAGAATTCAAATTTTCAATTTACCACTGACTCAAAAAACTTCTTAAAGACGCCACTTTTTCAGGCGAATTTGTTTGCGCAAAGCGCGCTGCGCGCGAAACAAATTTTAATTAATTTCCTGTTGTCTTGTGGAATAATCAATGTTTGTCATCAATATTGCAACTATAGAAGCATTTCACTTTTAAAAATGTCTAGTCTTGTTCAAGATTCGTCCCTATATACACGGAAAACCATTTTTTTAAGTTTAAATATAGGTAATGAGATTATGAGAACCATATTGATGTCC